CCCCTTACAGATCCGATACGGCACGGCTCATCGATGGAATGGGGGGGGGGGTACATAGACTAGCTGGAGAGTAAGCCTGTTTGGTCCACGTAAGGGAGGTGACATGGAATCGCACAGTATTGCCAGCATTTCACAACACTTTTCCCATTCAGTGTAAAGACACTGACTGTACCAGGTGGCTGACACGCCGCGCACCTTCGTAGTTACGTAGTACACTGTACGGCTTGCACGCGTGCGGGCGGGTTGCCCACTCGCACGGGGCCAGAAGGAGCCAAAGAGACGAATGCATATAAATGTCACCAAACGAGACGAAGGTGTCAAGGTTCAACGTTTGCGGTAGAGAGCTTTGAATGGAATGGGCCACATGAACTGGCCAAAATACAAAAATGATTGAAAATACTAAGCTACGCGCGGCAGGAAGGAAACCCTGTAGGATGAGCTGGAACCAATGCAAGCGGCTGCACTTCGGGCTGCGCCCACACCACTCTACTCCGCACCCTGCACCCCTCCTGCACCCCTCCTGGACCCCTCCTGCACCACACCCACAGGGGCCGGAGGGCGCGGCTGCTGCACCGAGGAGGGAGATGCAGTTCTTGACCCAGCCCATGCTGCTCTACCCTGCCAGGCATCGCTACCCAGAGCCACATCCTGCCGAAAAGAGTCAATGACCCCGGCCTCCCCTCTGCTCGAGGCGCGCATGGCCTCCCTCCCTGCCTCTCCCTCCTCCTCCCTCTCCCCCTCTTACCTCTCCCTTCCTCTCCCTTCCTCTCCCCTCTCCCTCCCCTCTCCCTCTCTTCCCCACCGGCCACACCCCTCCGCCCCAAGGCGTCGAGATGCGTATTGGTTGCATTGCGTCGCCGACGGCTGGAGTCTTCCCCCTGTGCGTGTGAGCATGATGTGTGTGTGCGTGCGAGCACCCCGTGTGAGTGAGACAGACATAGAGAAGCATGCATGTGTACGTAAGGGGGAGCCAAAAAAATGAAGCGACTCATGATGTAATATACATAAACAAATGGCGGTAAACATGGAATAAGTAGATCGGCTACCCATTCCTCCCTCGAACACCGCAACGAGCAAAAGCAGAGCAGAACTCGGTGAACGCTCACGTCTCATTTGCGTTTACGCGAGGGGATGTGTGCATAGAACAGCCCCAGAGAGTGCATACTGGCGATTGTGTACAGGCAATACGGGACATATTTTGAAATGATGTCCGAATGTATCCGTCTCGTTTTTGTCTGTTTTGGATGTGTGCGTGCCTGAAGGTATATCTGGTTCAAGTCAAAAAATGGACGTGGACGTGGCAGCCAGCATTGGGCAGCTAAATGTGAAAACCAGATGAGAACAGTGGACACCCGCGCATCTGAAAAACAATAACTGGACGACGCTCGCCAACGAAAGCAATGTTGGTGTAGCCGTAGTCGTCTAGAACGGCGGCAGACTGTCCACCAACTAGCAAGGGTGCGTCGGCATCGAGACGCGGACGGGTTAAGTCGTTTCCGGTTGAGCTAGGCGATCAGCCAGCGCCCCGGCGGCCGGCGTCGCGTCGCGGACTTGGAACCGCAGGGCTGACGAGGCGCCCCTCTCGTCATTATGGCGACGTCTGCAGTCCGCGCCATTGTTAGCCGGAGGCCGGCCTGGCTCGGCGGCGTCGCGTTTCTGTCGACGAGTACGTTTTTCGTGCGAGCTATACCCCCCCCCCTCTCTCTCTCAATCGTTCTCCACTTTTGCAAACTGCCCCCCCCCCCCTTCTCTTAGGCCCCTGCCTGCTCCGGGCTCCCGTCTTCTTCCAAACTCGAGCCGATCCGGTTCGGCAGTGGCGAGAACCGGCACCCGGTGGGCCCGGCCCGGCCCGTGCCGGTAGGTTGCCGTTTTGGACCTGGGTCAACGCGGCTTGCCCCACCCCGCCCCGCGCGGCCCGCAGGGCGCT